TGGTGAATTAGTATTCTAGAAAAGATAAAATTGAAAAAAAATAAAATAAAACTCAATAACTATGAGACGAAAGAGAAAGGTTAAGCAATAGCTACATTTTTATTATAAAATGTCAAATCTATCGAGTATACTTTATGTTTGTACTCGTGTATCATTCTTTTCAAATAGATGTGACAATGAGACGGATAGATAATATTACGTTAAAGGAAAAAAAAACAAAACACCAGGTGAATCATAAGAAATAATTTTTTTTTTTGCTATAATAAAAATGAATAGTTCTTACTTTCGTTTGTGTGATTTGTGGACGAGTAAAATCTGTAACATTTTTATATTCACGATTTGATTCATTTGTTTTTTTTTGTTGTAATGTATCTCGTACAATAGGTGAATCATTTATTTGACCTGTATTTTTATTTGATATATAAGGTGAATTATTATTATTATTATTATTTTCTATAATATATAAAAATAATAAATATTTATTAATAAATAAAAAAAAAAAAAAAGATCTCACTTATTCCATCACGAATTTCTGTTTCTAATTTTTCAACATTTAAATCTGAACTTGTAACAATAATTGATTTATTTTTATAATATTCATCAGCTATTGGATCAAGTACTAATAAAATAACTTCTTCAGGATATTTTGTACCATTTCTTGTTACACCTTCTTTTATTCTTTGTACAACTTGTTTATGATTTTCATTACCAATTGAATTATAATTAACTTCAATTATACGATCATTTTCAAGTAAACCAGCTGAATCAGCTGGTGAATTTGGATCAACTTTACCAATATATTGTCCTGGTTTAGATTTTTCTGAATGTAAATTAAAACCATAACCATCAAAACCAGGCCATCGACGAAGATGACATAATCGTGGTCGTGGTTCATACGATTCAAAACTACTATTTGTCATTATTAAAAAAAAAAGATTTTTGTTTTTCAAGATATTATATGAAAAACAAAAAAAAAAAATCTAGAAAAGAAAAATTAATCTTGATACAAATATATTTATGTCGGGTACATATACGATCATCCGAAAGTAAATAAAAAGAAAAATGATTACTTCCTTTTCTCTAGAAAAATATAAAACATGAAAAATGATCTGTTCCGTCTTTTTCATTTTTACTTCTTTAATATTATTTAATTTGTCTAGTTTTCTTTTTTTCAATGAAAAGAGACGACACATGTTTAATCATATCATATGTATATTCGATTTTGTTCTCTCATAAATGATCATATAGATTTTTTCTTTATTTTTCATTTTATTAAAAAACAAAAGAAAAGGTAAAAAGAAAGAAAAAACACTCTTTAGTTTATATAAAGTAAATGACTATCGACGAAAATGAATGTCTCTCGTTAACGATTACAACAATGTAAATATGTTCAGTCGTCTATGTTGATGTTGGCACCTCCTCTTTTTTCTTTCTTTCTTCGTCTTCTCCTCTATTTCACTTGATCATAAAACATTTGTTCATTAGAACAATATTGCTAAAGAGAATAACAAAACGAAAATGTCTGCATCGTTCATATGCTCACTTTGTACTAATAGGTGAACGAGTCGCAAAACAAAAGAAAAAGAAGAAGAATAACTACTTCTACTTTCGGGACGCACACATACCTACTCGATTCGACGTGTTATCATTGCGTCGTCATCTTTCTTTATTTATACGAACTGACCATCCATGGGAATGATAGAATACGATGAAAATGAAAAGAAACGAGACTAATAAAAAGCAGGTTGTTTCGTTTTTGGCATAACGTGTGTATGTTATTTTTAAACTAAGAAAAAAAGAAACATGAAAAATGCATTACCCATTTCTTCTCTTCACACAGACACCGGCTGAATAAAGAAAAAGAGAAGGGACAATGACGATGCGAAAAAAAAAAAAGAGAGAAATAACAACGTACACACATACTTCTTTCACAACAGCTACTAAAATAACAACGATAGATGAAAAAAAAAAAGAAAGCAAACTATTATCAGTCTTTCTTGTTGTGAATAAACACGAACAAAACATTGAAAAAAAAACACAATGCAAAAACATATCTTTTAACACTTCAATATGATATTGTTGTTCATAAACTTTTGTTTGATAATTTTCACAGTCAATAAATGAATATAAAAGAAAAATCACACACACACACACATAAAATAAATATGATGTTTTTAGATTGTTCTTTTGATTTTATTTTTTGCCACGTAAAAATTTACCATATGCAGATTTTGATTCAAATAAACTACGAATAGTTACAACTTGAATAATTGATACTATAATCATAATAGATAAATGAATAATTGACCAAAAATTAACACGTTCAAAATTATTTTCAGCTATAACACGATCATGTACTTCAAAATTATTAAATGTTTTTTGATAACGTTGAGCTGATTCCATATTATCCCAAATATGTTGAAAAACTTCCTAAAAATTGAAATAATTATGATATTTTAACATTTTGATTTTTCTCAAATTCAAATTTCAATTGATATTAAATCAATTTAATATATGACATTGCTTTTTTTTTGTTTTTAATCATTGAAAAAGTTTTAATAACATCTGTCAAGGTTAACTGATGAAAATATGTTGATAACAAAAAACAAAACAAACTTTCATAGTTTATCAGATGAGTTTAACGTTATCATCAAATTTATTATATAATCAATTGTATGCCAACTTCGTTATGGGATATAATCAAGAGAGAGAAAAAAGTGAAAATGCCGTACTTTCAGACTATATCATAATTGGACATCAAATCTATTTCAAGTCTCTTATCGACCTGTGTTACGTTATATTAACCAGAGTCCAGTCTGCGTAAGTCTATCTGACAATAAAGTCCAAATACTTCATCGTACTCCCACTTTGGAAGTACAATGAAGTATTTGATCTTTAGGGTGAGGGTGACTTACGTAAGCTGGACTCCGGCTAATATATAACGTAACACAGGTCGATAAGAGACTTGAAATAGATCTGATGCACAATTATGATATAGTCTGGAAGTACAGCATTTTCGATTTTTTGTCCTTGGATATACCGGTCTTTGAAGTTAGTTTCGGTGGAAGATGCTAAACTTAAGAAATTGTCTTTGAGTAGTACTAGATACTATAACGTAATTGAAAGATAGAATTACTCGTGTTGTTGGTGGATTTTCAAAAGCGTTTTCGTAAAATTTTGGATACTGAATGAATTCTTTAACAGTAGATTTCAACCTTGTCAGATAAATTGATAGGAAATTTCATTGTATTCTTAAGTCTAATTTTGGATATTTTTACTTATGATACTTTGATCGAGTTCAATCACATGAGTATTCAATAAAAATATAATGAATTCGTCTAGGTTATTAATTCAACGAAAGGTAACTATTATACATTTGAAAAAGAAAAAGAACATTCGCGAATATTTTTTTGAATAACTTTCGATAGAAACAAGATAAAAAACTGCGGGTTTCCATTATTATAAAGATCCAGGCACATAAATCTATCTTGATATTTGATTGGTCATCATTGGATCAATTAGATTATTCTTAGTAAATATTTTAAAAACCATAGTCCTAAACAACTTTTCGATTGACTTTGATTGTTAATATAATCAATAGGTAGGAAAAAAACTATTCTCTTTCGATCTATACAAGACCAAGATTGCTAACTTGTTATAAAGATTTCCTTAAAATCCTCGATTGTAGCCAATAGATCTGAAGTTACGATACTGACGAGGGAACATTTCCAAGTGTCACATCGCTTTTAAATCGAGCGTATAAGCATCATGTAGATCCTAATGATCTCTGAATACCTTGAAAAGAGTTCGTACTGCTAGCTTATTATTGCCGAGAAATTGCATTTTTATGATAGTTTTAAACACAAAACTGTGGTCCCGCTCAGAAACACCAGGAAAACGAAGTTTCGAATTTCGACTTGAAAATTTGCATAGAGACAAGTTTCAATGAGAATAGTTTACTGTGAAAGTTTCAGGTCTTTTGGTTGTTCCTATCTCAGATACAGCTATGGTAAATGCATGCTTCTATATACCAGCGAATTCCGATGTTCTTACTTTAGCTTAGGAGCAATTAAAAGATCTGAAACTTTCATAATAAACTATTCTCATTGATGCTTATCTTTATGCAAAGTTTCAAGTTGAAATTCGAAACTCAGTTTTTCTAATGTTCCTGAGGGAAGCTACTGCTTTATACCGTAAAAATGCAATATCTCGATAGCAATAAGCTAGCAGTACGAACTCTTTCCATGGTATTTATAGATTATTAGGGTTTACATGGCGCTTATACCTTCGGCTGAAAAGCGATGTGACACTTGGAAATGTTTTCTCATGAGTCGAATAACGATAATTTCTATATTTTCAAAGTTTTATAATCTATCACTATACATCATAATAAGTCTAGAGTGTTATTCACGAACTGTTATGATCAATCAAAAATCTCTTTGCTATCCTATGGAGTATGAATACTTCGATATGCATATATAAATTCGAATAAATCTTACTTTAAAATGATCAATTTTACTTTGTAAATCACCAAGATCATCTTGACCAACATCTTTCATCCATGGTTCAGTTGTATGATCATATTCACTATTTCCATGTTCATCAATAAGTCTTAAACTAAAATAAACTTGTTTTTGATTAAAACGTGATATTGTATTATCAAAACAAAAACGATATTCTCCTGTTTCTTCTAATTTTAATGTTTGATGACCATCACGTTTTTTATAATCAGATTGTAAAACACGATTTGTTGGTGAATAAAACCAATAATTTATATCAATATCACCACCAGCTATTACTTCATATTCAATTTCAGCTGTTTTACCTGTTGTTAATATTTGATGAAAACATTCACGTTGATTAGCTGGTACAAGTATAGTTAATTCAATATCAATTGTATATATTGGAATTATTAATATAGTTAAAATAAATAAAATAATAATATGTATATTAAATTTATAAAACATCTAGAAACACAAAACAAAAAACAATTATTTATTTTATAGTTTTTTTTTTTTCTTTTTCTTATTCTTATTATCATCTAAATCATCAAGTAAAGCATGTTTTTTAATTGTTATTTCAATATTTCGTTTCCATTGTTCTGGTCTTGAACAATATGCTGTTAAATTCATTTCATATGTTATATATTTTGCATATATATGTGAACGAAGTAATTGTAAATCATTTGACATATTTTTAACCATTTGAAGTTTTTGTTCAATTGTTTGAGCATTTTTCCATAATTGTGTTATAAACCAACAAGCATATTTATCACAAGACATTTTTGTATAAAATTTATCAAGTTTATTATAGAAATTTTTTTCTCGAATTAAAGGCCATAAATTTGATTTAAGTATTAATTGACAAAGTAAATATGAACCATTTGGATGACATGCTATTGTTGATATTTGTTCACCAGTTAAAGAAATAAATGATTGATATGTTAATTTATCAATTTTTTTAGCACGAAGAAGTGCTTGAACAATAAGTGAACCTTCTTTTGTTATTAATTGATTTTCAGAATTTTCTAAATTTATTTATATTTAATCAACTACATATGTTTTTAATTTAATTTAAATAATTTGATTCTCGATCACAAAAGAACGAATCTGAATTTCATGTTATTGCGTAAGTAAGAGATGCGGAGATTTCACCTATATTAAGCTGTTCCTCTGATTATGCGATTAGTTACTTGTTGTTGTCAATTTTTCAAAACAATACTATGAACTCATTCGGAAATAAGAGAGAAACTAATTTTTCAATTTCGACTTGAACAAAGAAACAAATATTAACAAAGCCATTTGATCTATTTCTGTTCTAAAATGAGAATATCGAATCTTTGGTTGTATATCAGCAGTGTCACAAAACACTATTTTTGTTAAGATTTATTTCTATGCTAAGTTTCAAACGCAACTCAAAAGTAACTAATCAATTGACGGACTTTCCTCATTAGGAACATCAGAAAAAAAAAACTTATTTTTCAATGTATTATCGCTATTTCTATTCTAAGGTACAACTATGGTAATAGCGTGTTCTTTATAAATTACATTCTTAATTGAACATCACAAAATTTGAAACTTTCATAATAAACTACTCTCATTAACATCTGTTTCTATGCAAAAAATTTCAAGTCGAAAATAAGATCGTCTTTTAAAAACTAGCATAAAAGTACTGTACCTCCGCAGCAATGAGTCAACAAGGGGTATCATTCGAGATGAGAACATTCCTAACTGTCACATCGCTTTTGAGTCAAGCGTATACGCCTCATGTAGACCCTAATGGTCTATGAATACTCTGAAAAAAAGCTCGTGTCGCTAGCTTATTACTACCGAGATATTGCATTTTTACTGTATGTTTAAGAAAAATAGCTGTGGTCCCCCTCAGGAAAACTGAGCTTCGAATTTTGACTTGAAACTCTGCACAGAGACAAGCCTCAATGAGAATAGTTTATTGTAAGAGTTTACAGCTATGGTAAAATCGTTTATATACACCAACAGATTCCGATGTTTTTACAATCAAAAGATCTGAAACGTTCACAATAAACTATTCTCATTGAGGCTTGTCTCTATGCAATGTTTCAAGTCAAAATTCGAAGCTCAGTTTTCCTGAGCTGTTTTTCTTAAACAGACAGTAAAAATACAATATCTCGGTAGTAATAAGCTAGCGGCACGAACTTTTTTCAAAGTATTCATAGACTATTATGGTCTACATGATGCACATACGCTTGACTCAAAAGCAATATGACAGTTAGGAATGTTTCCTCATCAGCCATTACATAGGACCTGTGAAAACCACTCATTTATCTAGTGGGTGGGCAGTGCCCAGTTGAAATTTCGATTCGCTCACTCGGGAAACGAAATCTAGAATCAAAAAAGAAACTGAACAAACGAAATTTTCTTTAAAATTTCGTTTCCCTAATTTATAAATAAATCCCATATCAAAAGTCGAGTATAAAGTGTTTACATAAACGAACGGTCATATACAACACATTCGACAATGAATGGTTTTTTTTATCGTATAAGAACGTCTCCAATAAGAATCGGTTCTCCTTGGTAAATAATGCGTTCTTTTTTTTTTAACTAAGACCGTGTTCGAATCTGTTCTTATGAGACATGTTCCGCATCGATGAAATCTATTCGAATGTGTTCTATACATTAGCGCTCAGCTTTTATCAAAACACGTTTTGTTTCTTCGTAAAAAAAAACAAAACCTATTCTCACATCCAACGAATACGTTCTAATAGAACGCAATGGACATACTTTGCATAGGATAGAAAAGAATTCTTCTAAACCATAAAGTTTTAACTGAAAATTAATCTAATTGAAATTACCTGCTCGTAATTTTAATAAACAAGGAATAAAATTATTAATATTATTTTGATTATTATTAATAAATTTATTTAAATGTTGAATAAATTCTTCATAATGACAATGAAATCTTTCACATATACGTATAAATGTAATTAATAAATGTATATGACTTTTTTGAATAAAATTTTCAAATCTTTGTTTATTAATCATTAATTGATAAATATTTTCAAGTAATTCTTTATTATTTAATGTTAATAATAAATGTTTAAAAAAAAAATTTCCAATTGAATGTAAATAAAATTTATCAATATTATTTATAAATATTATATAAAGATTTTCATCACGTTGTTTTGATGAAAATTCTAATATAACTTCAAATATATATGATGAATGTTTATCTAATAAATATTCAATATTTAAATTTTTATAATATTTTTTATATATTCTATTTAATAATTTATGATAATATTCATTATATAAATAACCACATGTACGAAGTAATATTGAATAAACAAATTCATTATAATTATTTGTTTTATTAATTAATTTTCCTAATTTTTTTAATTTTTCTTTTATATTCCATTCTAATGATAATTCAATATATTTTTTTTCATTTTCACCACCATCAATTAATTCTTCATATTCATTATTATTATTATCCTTAGATGGTATTAATGGATGAAGAAATGATATTGTTGATGCAATTATATGACTTGTACCAGTTTCTTGTATATAATCATTAAAATTTTCACATATACATTCAAATAAATGATTATATCCTAAAAGAATTTGTTCATTATCAATAGATAATATATTTGGTAAATAAATAAAAAGTTTTTCTAATATAAAACATGCTGAACGATCACGTATAATATCATCAATATTTTCTGTTGTTAAACGTTGAAATAATATTAATAATAATGAATATGATGTAATATATGGTAAAAAATTTTCTAATTCACGTGAACATGTTTTTATTATTTTAATTGTATCTGTAGTTGTTGATAATAATTCTTCAAATACTTTATTTGATAAATTAGAACGATCTTCATTTGATGAACATTGTTGAAATAGATTATAAGATTCTTTATAATATTTTGTATTTGATGATAATGCTGACATTCTAAAATAGATTAGAAATCGTTAATTTTATCATCAATTAGAAAGAAGAAAAAAAACATGTTATATGTAATACCTTCCATATTTAACCAATTTATTATTTTATGAATATAAGCAAAAAAGACAGTAATATATTTATATATTTTTTGTTTCGAAAGATAACGCTAGTTGATTATTAATAGATTATATATGAGAGATATTCATTATAATTAATATATATATTAGATAAAAATTATTTAATATAAATATGAAATATATTGATTTTGATTATTTAGAATAAGATATTTTTATGATTAAGTAATATTTGACATCGACTTTTAACGACATCTCATGATAACAGAAGTCTTAATTTAAGTCTTTTTCAAATGGTTTGGTTATGTTACATCAATTTGTACCTCTGGTTAAGTTTTATATGATTAGATTACGTACTTCTACAAAGTAGAAATGGAGTAGCGGTTCAAACAGACCGTCTGATTGCTTTATTTTGCTAAATTTTCAATAAAATATTGTATTTTTTGAGCAGAAAATGTGGATATCATAATATAAGATGAAAAATCTTTGCCCTGGAAGATGAGAAATGATGTTTTTTCTTTAATCAGTTGGCTCACGAGGGAAAGTCCCCAAGTGATTCACCGCTTTTGGCTCCATATTTTGCCCATAAGTAGGGGTCTTGTAGACTAGAAAAAGTGTAAGAGGATATGAGCCCATATTGCGATTTGACTGAGATATTGAAGTTTTACCCAAAATTTCCTGTGGGACCTTGATTTTCCAGCAAAATCATATTTTCGAAGTTTGAGCTGAAACTTTGCCCAGATAAAGTCCTCAATTAGACTAGCTTGTAAAAAAGATTTCAGTACTTTTGGACATAATATTACTGATTTTCAAAGTATTCATGTTTTATACAATACCCACTGAAAAATTTGTCAAGAAAAAACCGCGAAAGTCAGACCGTTTATGCGGTTTTTGAAACCGGCGAAAACCGCGGTTTGCAAATCCTGCAGTGAGAACTGCGGTCGGGGCTGAGTTTTTGCAGGTCTAACCGCGTTTTTTTCTGTTCTCACCGCAATATTACAAACCGCGGTTTCAACCGATTTTTAAAAGACGCATAAATGGTCTGACTTTCGCGATTTTTTTCGGAAGAATTTTTCCGTGGGTATCAATCGAAAAGCGCCTGTATTTTGGAAAATTCATATGTCAGTAATACTATGTCCAAAAGTACTGAAATCTTTTTTTACGAGCTAGTCTAATTGAGAACTTTATCTGGGCAAAGTTTCAGCTCAAACTTCGAAAATATGATTTTGCTGGAAAATCAAGGACCCACAGGAAATTTTGGGTAAAACTTCAATATCTCAGCCAAATCGCAATATGGGCCCATATCCTCTTAGACTTTTTCTAGTCTACAAGATCCTTACTTATGGGCAAAATATGAAGTCAAAAGCAGTGAATCACTTGAGGACCTTCCCTCGTCAGTCACAATCATACTGCATTACTCATTGTTCATTTATTTATTCAGTTGTTTTATCTATTTCATATTTATATTGTCGTAATATGATCGGACTTAATATTTTCTCTTCAATCAATTTATTCAAAAAATTGTTACTCAAAAACAGAGTTTATTTTTTTATAAATGTTAATATTATCTTTTTTGTCTTTACCCAACAGTTACATACTGTATTAAACCAATAGATCTTTCACTTAATCATGTTATTTTGATATCTGTAACTTCCTTTTTTTTTGTATAAAAATAGTTTTCTATTTTCGCTTAATTATTATCCTAATATTAGTATGTAAAAAAAAAAAAAGGACACAGATCTGAACAGGCACGCAGGTCAGGTCAATGAAAACTAGGCCTGATTGGATCTCTGATAAGAAATCTGGACAACGTGTTAGACACTGAATGCAAAAACTCGGAAAAAAGGGCATTTCATATCTCCGTGGTGATTATTCAATTCCGAATAATAAGAAAATTTCATTGAGAATATCAAAGTCTATGTCGATCAAATTCGAGTCCAAAAATGTTGGACCCGCTGGGCTCTATCGATCGGTAAATGTTAGTCTACTCCTAACTGACCGGTTAATTTAGTGAAACTTCGAATGTTTTGAAAATGTTTAATATGTAACTTTTCATTAAAAATTAACAGTACAAAAGAATATTGATATATTGAACTATGTTTATTAGTTCTTTTTATATTTGAATGTCAGAAAAGCTATATACGATTTTGTTATTGATAAAAGTAATTTAATAATGAGAGTTTTTCGATTTTTTTTTCTAAAATCCAATATTATTCAATGAAGGAAATTGAATTTAATTGAAGACATATTGTTCTAAGAATATCACTTTTTTTCTTCTATTTCTCGATAATGACATAAATCAGAAATGAAACTGTTCTCATATTTTGACGACCGATAACTGTTTCATCTATCATAAATAATAATGAATGGTGATTTTTTTTTTTAACTTTCGAATAATTGATTATAATGAAGTGTGAATGAAACATATTTACTCATTTTTTTTTCTTTCAATATGAATGATCATTTTTCCCTCGACTGAAGGGAGTGTGATACAGAAAAAACTTAAAAGCGTTTGTGGTGGGCGGACTTTGTGCCAGGTCAAAAGAACACAAAGGTCAAAAAACATCAAGGATGATTTTTTCTTATACAGGTTGACGGAAATAAATCGGGGTCGAAGAATTCAAATCTGAAGTCAATTTCTGAAAAGCTTGATTAGTTATTTGTTTGAAAAAAGATCATAATTTTCTCTCGAAATTATTGTCTAAGAAAAAAACAATTCTCTGGGAAAAAGTCATTTGGAAAAAAAGAAACTCAAAATGTGGGAAACCCTTCTGCATTGTGAAAATTTGTGACTGCTGTTTAGTTGTGGTGCCCTCTTTACAGTATCGTTGTAGACGTGGGTCGGAGTATGACCTGTTGGAGTGTGTATGTCAGTAAGTCGTAGTATGGTAAGCCAGTGTTTACATACCACTGGAACCCAATCTTAGGTACATGAGATTGAGCGATTCTTGTTTATTCACAATGGTTTCTGAGTTGAATAGCTTTTTCTGCAGACTCTGCTTAGGTCGAAAGGAGTAGGATCAAAAGAATCTCGTAAGTGAAGTTACGGCCTGTAGGGTGAATGCAGAATAACCAA